TTGCTCTCAGACTGCAGGCTTACTTGTGGTTCCTAGAGTTTCCAAAAGCAGAATGGGAGGAAGATATTTCAGGCTCCTCTCTTGTGGAACCAACTTCCAGTTTCTGTCCATGAGGCTGACACGTTGTCCAGTTTTAAGACTTATTGATAAATCCTATAATTAGTGTTGGCTTGTTATGCTGTCATAGGTTTAGACTACTTGAGGACAAATTGACCTAATTTCTTAAAATGAATTATTATAATTGAATAGTTTTCATTTGATACTATTTCTATCATATGTGATTCTTGACCTGCCATTGTGTATCTGTTCTTTCTTCCTGTTCCTCTCAAACCCAGCCGGTCGAAGCAGATGGCCGCTTGTCCTGAGCCTGGTCCTGCTAGAAGTTTCTTCCACATGAGGGAGTTTTTCCTTTCCACTGTCACCTTCACGCTTGCTCAAGATGAGAGTCTGTGATGACGTTAAACTCAAAGCAGTCTGCTCCTCAGATAAACAGTGTTAAATTATTATTTTTATGTATGAATATTTCTGTTCAGTGCCCTGAGATGACTTCTGCTGTGACTTGGTGTTATTTAAATGAACTGAATTGAAAATGGAACTAATTCACAAAGCATCGTGGCACAGACCGGACACTGTTCACTCCTTTCAGCTGTCTTTGTGTGAAGCTGTTGAGGGACACGTCAATGATGTCAAATAAATACTTCACATTTTAAAGAGTTTACCTCTTCAACTGCTTGTTTATTTACCAGATATTTAATTTGTTATACACAAAATGGCTGTCTGGGATTTACAAGCAACACATAACTATTTTGTTGAGAGGATAATTTTGTTTAATGGCTTATCTTAAACGCCCACAGAGTGCTGCAGATGAGCAACCCGTGGGCGTAAAAACCTGGTGATTAGTCGGCAGACCACTTTGGAGTACATCTCACACGACTGAGGCTGAACGGGCAGAGGGGTGTGTGTGTTTATGTGTGAACAAATCATTTGTGTGTGTAGGTAGGCGGCTGGAGAGGAGGAGGGGGGACGTTTGGACACGACAATGCACGTGAGCATGTCTGCGGATCTAAATGTGAACTTGCACGTGTTTTGGTTTGCATGTGCATCTGCTGAAGGAGGACATAGGACAATGGACGCCTGCTTCACCTGTCAAAGAGGACAAAAGACCCTCTTAGGTTGTGACATGTGCAGATCTGCTGCTGGCCTGCAGAGATAGCAGTCCTGCATGAGTGGGTGGACAGTCTGCACAGTCCTCCACGACCACCTTCCAGTTCCTCCCGGGCTGTGTGAGTTGTGCAGTAAATCCCTGAAGAAGTGTCTGAATGGGTCCTGTCCCTCTGACAGGTTGTAACAAAGACGGATGTCCAAATGTCGGTAAGACGGGATCCAAGTCAGCCAAGTCATGCATTCAATCATTAACTAAACTAGATCAATTGCATTTCCTGCAAAAATGCAATGTGAATGCTTATTGCAGAAGAACTTGCTGAAAAACAGCTGAAATTAGCTAAAAGAAACAAGCTGAAATATAGCTGAAATTGAAAAACAAGCTTAAATTAGCAGAAGAAAGCAGAAAGAGCACATATTTGCTGAAATAGGTTTAAATAAGAAGAAATTAGAAAATAACACACAAAAAAAACAGAGATTAGCTCAAACGAAAATCGAAATAAGCAAAAAAAAACAACTGAAAAGTAGCTGAAAAGGCGGAAAGAAGATTAAACTACCAGAAAAAAGCAGAATGAGCTGAAAAGACATTAAAAAAATGTGGAATTAGCTGACAATGCTAAATTTAGCATCAAAACAGCTAACGAGTAGCTGAAATTGAAGAAAATGTTGAAAATAGCAGAAAAATGCTAAAAGGAGCATAACAAGCTGAAATTAGTAGAAATACATACATTAGGCTGAAAGTAGCAGAAATGACCCTGAAAAGCTTGAATTAATCTGAAAACAGCTGAAATTAGTGAAATGCTAAAAGGCTAGCTGAAAAGTTAGAACAAGCTTAAATTAGCTGAAGAAAGCAGCAAAAACACATGATTGCCCAATTAGGCTGGAAAAAAAACAGAAATGAACACAAAACGTGGGAATTATCTGAAAAAGCTGAAATTAGCAAAGAAAAAACCTGCTGAAAAGCATAGATAAAAAACAGAAATAAGCTGAAATTACCAGAAAGAAGTGGAAAGAGCACCTTTTTGCTGAATTGGGCAGTAAAAAAGTTTAAATGAGTGCAAAAAAATGTGGGATTATCTAAAAAACCTTAAATTAGCATGAAAACAACTAAATAGTATAGCTGAAATAGTAGAAAAATCTGAAACTAGCAGAAATAAGCTGAAAGGAGTATAACAAGCTGAAATTAGCAGAAAGAAGTAAGAAGAAGCAGAAAAAAAATGGCATAGTTAGCTGAAAGAACCAGAAAGGAGCTCAAAACAGCTGAAAAAACAGCTGAAAATAGCTGAAAAAATGTTTAAATTTGCAGAAGGAAGCTGAGATAAGATAAACCGGAACAAAATGTGAAAGGAGCAGTAGAAGGTTGTGAACAGATCTTAAGATGTGAAGGATGTAAAATGAGCTCAATTCATTTTCTCTGAGAAAAAAAAAATGGCAGATAAAGCTAAATGTTTCAAAAAGCTTAAGTTGCACCAATACCAAAAGTCATAGCGCCCTTCTCATGAATGAGCTGAACGTTTTGATTTATTATTTGTTGAAATAGTTTGAAAACTGCAGGACGAGAATCGCGCCAAAAAATGTACGTAAGAAAAATGGATCACAATAGAGTGAATGCTTCATAAACATTCACACATAAGCTCTTCTGCCACTTTAAATCACAGTAAAGCCTCCTCGTGTTAAAAACATCATCAGTGTCTTTTCAGTGTGCTGACATCATGGACTGTCCCTGCACATTACATGCGTTTCACATCAAAATAAGCTGATTTTCATTTTCTTGAGACTGTGAAGGAGCCCCGTCTTGATGTAAATCAGTTGCTGTGTGGCAGGTTAGACATTAAAGCTTCCCCTGCGGTGCCAACTAATTGTTCCAGTGACTTTTCTGTTGGTGCAGCAGCTTCCACGTCAGTCAGACGGATAGAGTGGGAGTCGAGACGATTTCAGAATTATGGAAAAATTCAAAATGTTGCTCAACCTGTGGGCACGGAGCAAAAGAAAAGAACTGCAGCACGCGTTCAAGTTTAATCAAAAATGAAGCCTAAGGAGGACGCTTTCCACACACAGGTTTTCTTTTATTTAATTCGCCTTTTTCTTTTCGTTTCGTTTAGTGTGAATGCTGACTCGGCATTTATACAAAATAGCAACAAATATTTGACATTATTTTCTATTAAATGCACTGAATTATTCAAAAATATAATTTTAAAAGTATACTTCATTTGCTGTGTCTCCTTATGTTCTTTTTGACTCCCTGTGACCTTTTTTTTGTCTTTTCACGTCTCATTAAGAATCTTGTAACACGTCTTCATGCGTCCCATTTGTTATTCTGCATCCTTTTCACCTTTTTATGCATCGATTATGTGTCCTTTTAGTTTTTTTTATGCAAGCTATTTGTAATTTTATGTGTCCTAATGGTCTTTTTATGCATCCTTTTTATTTCTTATGGGTACATTTAGTCTTCTTATGTGTTTTTCCTTTGATGTCTCCATATGCTGCATAAGGAGACGTCAAAGGAGGCAATGGGCATCCTTTAGGTCTCCTTATGTTTTTTCTGATCTTTTCTTGGTTTTTCTGTTGGTCCTTTAGTCTAATTTTCTTCCACTTTATTTTTTCAGCTACCTTTGAACGTTCAGCTGTTATACTTTCAGAAAATGTCGTTCAGTCAAGCTGCAAAAGTTAATAATTCATTTATTTGTTGTTTCAATAAATGTGTTTTCTTCCCCAGAACTTTGTTTGCTGAACATCAGGTGAGGGAACTCTGCAGAGACATGTGAGCTCATTATAGAAACACATCCTGCAGCAAACGGGAGCTTCGGAGGCTGAACGAGCTCAATAATAAAATAAAATCAGGCGAGATGGCACAGATGCTGTTAGGATTCCTGCGTGCGGATCTTTAGTAATTCATACACTGTTACAGAAATCACAAGCACAAAGAGAAACGAGGAGCCCTCCGGTGCAACACTAACTTTACTGGAATCAAATCACAGCTTTATTACACTCTCATGTTGATGTTCGCTCACTTCCATTAGACTTCACTGGTTTTTCTTTAAGGAGCTGCCCGGCTTTGAGTCAAAACATTCATAAGAACAAGAAGCTACGGAGAGAGCTACAGTGCAAGTGTGAAATTTAGTTGGAAGTGTAACATGAGAGCAAACTAAACCCCTCAGGACGCAGTGGAGGCGCAAAATTTCACACATGATGTCCGTTTCATTGACAAACATAAGGCTCTATCACCCGCCACTAAAGTGCCTGCGCTGTTAGCGAAATATCTTGTGAACCACGAAACAAATTTGAAGAAAACACTCAGAGAATGTACATCTGAGTTCAAACGGGCTTTCAGATGGCAACAATTCAGCTACATTTAAAGAAAGTGAGCCAGAATTCGGTGTAGTAGTAGCCGAGAGTCATCCATACTCCAAGGATTAACCATCATGCAGGACCTTTTGCTTTAACCATTGGTATCAACCCTGTCCGTTAGCAAAATATGTCATGAACCTTTGGAGCGATTTGAGTAAAACTCTCAGGAAGTATTCACTGGATGTGCATCTGCAACTGATTAACTTTTAGTTTCACCCCAATCCAAGATGGCAGTTACAGCTAATGATTAGTGGGCAATACCAAATGGCTATAACTCAGTTGTTTTTAATAGGTGTTGAGCTCAAATTCCGTGTGGTGGTAGGTGAGAGTCATCCTCAACACATAGTCTGAGCGTTAACAGATCAAGAACTTGCTGTGGCGGATAGTGGGATTAAAACCATGTCCAGGTGAGGGGCGATATGCATTCCTTATAGAGATGCTAGGCCTTTAATTTCAACAAAAATGTGAAACCTTTAATGAGTCTGTCTTTCTGGTGCGTCTTCTCTCAGATCAGGCAACTTTTTGTTTAGTTTTAGTTTATGAAGTGGCCTCAGCTGTGCTCTCCAAGCTCGTCGCCATGCTGGGGGTCTGGATGCGCGCCCCTCCCCCGGGACCCTTCATTAGAGGTAAGAACGTGTCGCTTTGGCACGAGGAGCTGCTGATGGAGTGGTCCCAACCCCGCGCGCCGGAGCCGCGCACGTGTCCCCGGCGCTCCGGCGCGTCCTCCAGCTCGCCCTCGCCCGTGCGCAGCGCCATCAGCTCGATCTCGTGCTTGGCCGCGGTGTCCAGCACCTGCTGCTTGTTGTAGAACAGCACGAAGTTGTTGATGATGGGGTGGATGGGCAGCGCGATGGCGATGACCCCGCACAGGAAGCTGATGGCCGCGTTGCACCGACCTAAAGTGGTTTTGGGGTACACGTCCCCGTAGCCCACCGTGGTCATGGTGATCACCGCCCACCAGAACGACTGCGGGATGCTGGTGAACAGGGTGTCCGGGTGGTTCTGCTCCATGGTGTAGCCCAGCGCAGAGAAGAGGAACACCCCCACGCCCATGTACATGAGGAGCAGCCCGAGCTCCTTCAAGCTGCTCTTCAGAGCCGCCGTGAGGGTCTGGAGTCCCGAGGAGTGGCGCGCCAGCTTGAAAATGCGCGCAATGCGCATGATGCGTAAAGCCTGGATGGCCTGCTGCACGTTGGCCAGCTCCATGACTCCCGCGCCGAAGGAGGTGAGGACCAGCACCACGAAGAAGGGCATGATGGCCATGAAGTCGATGATGTTCATGAAGGACAACACGAACTTGACTTTGTTCGGGGAGGAGATGAGCCGGAGGAGGTACTCCACGGTGAACCAGCCGATGCACACCGTCTCGATGACCTCCAGGGTGGGGTGCTCCGCGAGGTTCCCCTCCGAGTCCTCCACCTGCAGGTCGGGGATGGTGCCCACGCACATCACCACAGACGAGATGAGGATGAAGATGAATGAAAGGATGGCGATGATGTGCGCGGGGAGCGAGGACTCCGGCTTCTCCATGAGCCTCCAGAGGGACACCTGGAAGCGCTGCCAGCCTCCTGCGTCCGGATCTCCTTCTCGGTCCACCAGGATGGCTCTCACCCGCTCAGCGATCTCCGCGAGCTCATCCTCCACCTCCTTCAGGTGGCTTTTACAGCACTCATCAAGAAAGTCCGAGCCGATTTTCCAGAAGTCCATCTCCTTCATGAAGCACATGGGGCAGATGCCTCTCTTCATGTGGATCTCTCCGTAATAATACAACTCGATCACGCACTTGAACGCTTCGGGGTCTCTGTCAAAATAAAACTCCCCGCTGTCCGGGTCATAGTCGTCACACAGGGAGGACATTTCCTCCAGAGACTTGGTGGAGCAGTCCACCAGCTCCGCCAGTCGAGTGTCCGGGAAGCGGGTGAGCATGTCCCCGTGCAGCACCTGCTTCACGCCGCCGATGTTCACCACGACCTCCGCCTCCTCGCTGGCCTCGGAGCCGTTGCAGTCCGCGTACCGGCTCCGCTGGATCCCCCACATCGCGCTTCTGACGCGCCCCAGACGCAGAAACAGCCCGAGAGAAACGTCAACAGAGACACGTGAACAGACGCGTCCAGCTGCCAGGAAACAGTCTAAGCTCCGAGCTCCGGTCGAAATAAATAAAAATAAAAATGTTTTCTCAGACGTGGCTGCGGCATGAAGTCCTGTTTGATGACAGAGAGCAGCGCGCCTGTGCGCTCTGAGAAAGTTGGCGAAGTGCCGCTGTCGTCAAGTTAACCGCATGAAGGAACACACTTCCGGTTAGAAGTTTCAAAATAAAACCCAGCAGCGCGCATTCACGCGTCAAGAAGGAAACAAACGTGAACAGATATGAAAGTGACACTTTCATATGGTCTTCTTTTCTTAAGACACCGTGAATAAACACGTACTGTATGACGTGTAAAACCACGCATTTAAAACAAGTAGAGCATAAAATGTTTACTAGCATATTTTTGAATGCATCCACTTGCTTTACGAGTTATATTTTGCTAACAATAAAGACAGTTAGTAGAAGTAGAAGTAAAATGTTTCACAAAAAAATCTTGCACAATCTGTCAGTGCTCATAATATGTGTTACCGTTGAGTCTCAGCTACTACCATGTGTGTATTTGAACCATGTGTGTATTTGAATGAATGCATGTCTTATGTATGTATATAGGCTACATGTACATATGCATATGTATATGTATGCTTACATGTGCACAGTATATATATATATATATATATATATATATACAGATTTAAATATATATATATATATATAT